ACTTGTTTGTTTTTATTATTCTTTTTGATTCTAGTGAAAAGCCTAACTAGCTTTTGCTTTCTTTACATATTTATATTACACGTTACAAAGCAATTACATAATTATGACTTCAATTCGAACGTATAGCTATTACGACCCTCAAATAACCTAGTGATTCGATCATACTAAGTGACTTTGACCTTACATCACATTTTACGTGAAGTACGATCGTAATACCAATATGATTCTAGTAGTTACATGAAACCCATCCAAATTGGGTAGTCATGTTCATTACACGATATGTGCATAGTACTATGTAACCCGATGGTTCCCTTACACTCTCCTCTATTTAAAACAGTTTCACCAGTTTTTTCAAACTCTTTTACCAAGTCTTTGTAATTTTCAAGATTAGTCAAGGGTTCCCAAGTAGCATCATATAGTGGGTGATCTTTCTATTTTACTAAGTACTATAGGTGACGGTAGTATGTTCTCTTGTCTAGTATAGCTTCAACTTCGTGTTCTTCTGGATCTTTGGTTGCAATTTCTGGAGGTTCTTTTCTTACTTCATCTCTAAACTCACTAGGGTAGTAAAGTTTTAATAAGGATATATGGAAAACTAGGTGAATACATAGTGTTTCTGTGAGTTTTAATCGATATATTACTGCTGAAATTTTCTAAACGATTTTGAAGGGTCCTATGAGTTTTGCGATAAGTTTCTTTGATGCCCTTTTTGCACTTTTTTGTGAAATTATATTTGTCGAATTCAATAATACTAAATCTTCTTCATTTAATTCTAAATAACATTGCTTTTTATTGGCTTGAACATTTTGTTTTTCTTGAGTGTTTACTAACAAATCTTTTGCTATATTTATTATTTCGGTCCAATGCTCAAACAGTTCTTGTGCTGCTTTAATATTTGTTGGGTTAACCTTTTCATTTGTTAGGCTTAATGGTGTCCTCAGATGGTGTCCATTATCTAATTGAAATAGTGTATAACCTATGGATCCTTGTAACGAATTATTGTAAGAAAATTCTGCGGCAGGCAAAATTTCTTCCCAATTGTCTTGCTTGTAGTTTATATAGGCATGCAAGACTTCTTTGAGGATTCTGTTTGTACGTTCTGTTTGTTTATCAGTTTGTGGATGTGCTGATGTTGACATTTTTAACTCTGTTCCCATTATTTTGAAAAGGCACTTCCAAAATTTACTTGTAAATTTTGGGTCTCTATCGAAAACTATAAAACGAGATAGGCCATAGTGTTGAAAATTTTCTTGAAAAAGACTTAGGTGATTTCTGCTGCTGTTGCGGAACTTCTGGTAGGTAAAAAATATGCTTTTTTGCTCAACTTATCTACCACTATCATAATTGAATCGTTCCCATTTCTCATACGTGGTAGGTGCATTATGAAATCCATCAACACAATTTTCCAAGATTGTGATGGGATTTTTAAAGGTTGCAATAATCCTGCTAGCGCTTGTGTGGAACTTTTGTTTCTCTGACAGCTATCACAGCTTCTTGTATATTTCTTCACATCTTTACTCATATTTTTCCAATAGTAACTTCATCTTAATCCCTTGTAGGTTTTTTTAAATCCGAAATGCCCATTCAAGTCATGGCTTTCTTTTAATAATAGTCTTTGTTCTTCAGATTCTTTTGCTATGCATAATCTCGGCTCTTTTGTTTCTTTTCTGAAAAATAATAATCTATTTTCTTTTATTTCAAATCTACTTATCTGCTTTCCTAATCTTTTAGCTTCTTCGCACTAAGGTCTTCCAGCACTTTTAAAATTCTTTGGAAATAGGTATCTTCTTTATATTTTTTTTTTTTTTTTTTAACGTCTACCCTCTTGGGAGCTAGGATTTTTATTCAAGTATATATAGCAAAGGGTTCTC